CAGGACGCACATGCAGAACATCAAGGACATCACCAGCAGCATCCACTTCGAAGCCTACCGGGTGAAGCGTCTGCACGAAGGCAGCAATGCCATGTCCAACGGCGTCGAGGAGAAGGGGCCCGAAGCCCAGGAGATGTAGACCCACCCTGCCCCCGGGACCCTGCCCCCCAGTCCTTTCCAGCACCACCCCCAGGCCCACCCACATGCCCCATTTTATTTTATATAATTTTCTCACTTGTCATCGTTCTCTGCCCCTTTACACGCCACCAAGTAACAAGATCACGTGTGCCCTCCTGAGTATGTGCATTCTTAGCCGCTGACTGTGGGGCCTGGACCGGGTGGGGCCTCGGGCAGGAGGCCATCCCTCTGGCCGTCCCCGAGGTCTGCGAGAGGCTGGGCCACGGCCAGGAGGGGCAGGAGGGGACCCGCGACTTCGGTGCCAGCCCCCAACCGCCCCCTCAACTGCAGGCACAGCTCTGGGTCGCCCTCGGCCCCAGCCTCTGAGTGAGGCAGGCTTGTGCAGGGGAGCTGGCCTGGCCGCCCCGGAGCCCCTTCCTGCCCCCTCTCTACACGGCCTAGACCCGTAACTCAGAGAGCCCCCACCTTTGCCACCCCCCCGGGGAGAATAGTTAATTCCATGAGATGCAGGTTGCCAATTGCTTAGACACCGGGAGGTGCATCGCCTGCCGCCCGCCCGCGAACCCGTCCTGGAGCAGAAAGTGCCTTTATCATCCGTCCATGAGCCAGCCTTCTCTCCCCCGCTGTCCCCGCTGTCCCCGCCACCGGCACTGGGAACTGGGGACAAGTCGGAGAGAGGGAGGTGTGTCTTCATCTCTCTATCGCCTCCCCCCCCCCCCCAGGATTTGACTGAGCATGCAAAGGAAGGAAAAAGATGCACCCCACTCCAGCCCACCCCCATGCTTTGGGGGAAGGTCCAAGCAGGTGAATCTGGTGGAGGAGCTGAGGGAGGAAGAGGTGACTGTGCAGGAAAAGGGGGGGCTGTATGGGGCCGGGCCTGTTCAGAGCCGCCCATGTGACCCCAGGGCCTGCCCTGCACCGTCCCATGTGACTGGGAGAGTGTGTTCCTGTCCGTCTGTCTGTCTGTTTAGAAATCTCTTTGGCCTAAGATGCTCCAGCCCAGGTACACATTCAGCCTTCTTGGCCCAGGCCTTGCTGACCTTGACCCCGGGAGCTTTTTGTTGCCCTAAATGTGCCTGGGCTCCCACACCCCAGAGCCCATCGTAAAGACCCCCCCAAAGAGGGAGAGGTCAGGAGGCAGGTGTGCATGGCCCCTCATCGGGCTGCAGCCTGGGGTTTTACGAGCAGGGCTTGGCCGGTCGCTCCCGCTCCTTCACCCTGTGTCTCCACGGGGAGAGCAGCTGCGGCCGTCCGAGCCGCGCACGGCAGGCGGCGGGTGCTTCTCCCTGCCTTCTGGAGAGCCAGGGGGCTGGCGCAGGTCCTGAGATTAGACACAGGGGAGGTGCACGTCTGTCTGCAAGCAGCGGGAGGAAGGGGATGCAGACAGGCCTGTGCAGGGCGTGTGCGTGTGTGTGTACAATGTCCTTGCATTGCGTGCTCACTCCCCACCGGAGACAGGAAGGACCCCTTAGCGAAACCATTGACTTGCCGACTTGCCACGTTTTTGCCAAAACCAAGATTTCGAAGGACACCTCCAGCTTCAGCGGAGGGGTGAGGGCGCGGGGCAGCCCCCCGGGCGGGACGGACCCGCTTTCCTTCTCTGTAGCCAGATCGTGACAGATCGTGACTTTTCACTGGCTTCTGTCCCACAGTGGCCTTTTGCTCTGTGCCTCCTGAGAGATTCATCTTTTTGTATAAATAACAAAGTGTTGAAACTGTATTTCCTGAAATAAATGTCCGAACGCGAACGTGGCGGGGGGACGTGCTCCCCTCCGGGACCCCAGAGGCGCGATTCTCCTTGGGGAGGAAGCCGCTGTCACCGCGATTCTGGGGGCTGCTGAACCTCGTGCCGGGGCGCTGCGTTCGGGGGCTTCGGAAGCCCGCGTGTACGTGGAAAGCCAGGGGCAAGGCTTCCCCCCGGAGGCACCGCAAGCGGCTTTCGTTCCTGTATTGTCAGAAATAAAGTTTCTCTTCTTGAATCTCGCCCTACCAGATCGAACCCCAGGAGCTGGTCAGGAGCTGAGACGGTGGCCCCGAGTGGAGGCTGCCGGGGGCACGTGTCTTTGCACATCCCCGCGGGCGCTCGGGGCCGAGCCCTTTGCCGTGCATGACACACCACCGCACGACAGAAATCCATTCCCTCCCGCTTCCGGAGGCCCCAAGTCCGAGATCGAGGTGCCGGCGGGCTGTCCTTTCTCTGGCCTGCGCTGTGCCCCCCTCTGTCCTTGCAGATGAGAAACAGGTCTCTTGTAAGGCACTCCCTTTGGATTTGGGGCCCATCTTCAGGATGGCCTCATCTCATCCTTACTTACATCTGCAAAGACCCTGTTTCCAAATAAGGCCACGTCCTGAGGTTCTGAGAGGACATGAATTTGGGGGGTGGGTGCTGTTTAACCCAGGGCATCCCCTACCCCCCCCCCCATCGCTGGGTCTCAGGGATGAGGCGGCCGCAGAGGGCCCTGCAGCGGGGCTCAGATGAGGGTTCAAGGTTTGCTCTGCCACGGACCAGCTGGGGGAGGATTACTGCAGCCCCTCGGGCCACCCCAGCCCTTCCATCGGGCAGGTTGGCTCGTTCTGCAGAAAGTAAATGGGTTTCGTGTCCAAATGAATCAATGGGCAGTGGCCACGTGGACCATCTGCTTCCTGGATTCTGAGGTGCCCCCCGCTGCCGACGTCTGCTGGGGGTACAGGAGGAGGACAGGGTCAGCCCAGGGGTGGGGGCTGTGGGGTCATCATCTCAGGACTCCTCCAGCTCTGAAGCTCCCCTTCCCTCCTCCAGACTGAAACTGTCCCCATTTTCGCCCCTGCTGGACACCCGCGTCCAGAAGCTGCTCTCTCTGGGCCTGACCCTCTCCAGGGCCCAACACGGGCTCCAAGCCTTGATCTCCGTTCTAGAATCTGGCTCCTTCCCCCCGGGGGCTTACTTACCGTGTCTGGCTGTCTCCCTGTCCCTGGCGCTGCTGGTCCCTCACGCGCCAGCCTGGCGGCGACCAGGACACCAGCTCTGCCCATCCAAGGGCAACCAGGGAATGCCTGTGGTGATGGGGGCTCGTCCCCCACCCAAGCAAGCAGATCCCCTATAGATCCGGGTGACCAACTGTTCCGGTCTGCCTGCACATGTGGGGTTTCCAGGGATCTGGGACTTCCAGCCCTAAAACTGGGAAGGTCCTGGGTGAGCCGGACAAGTTGCTCACCCTATGTAGACCCCACACCACCCTGACCCTTCTCCCACCGCTCAGGGTCCTGGTCGTGGACTCCTTGGCCCAAGGGGCTCCTACGGAGCTGCGAGGTCTGGGCTGGGCTCTTGCCAAGACATCCTGGGGGTGAGCAGGAGGCCCCAAGGACAAGCCATAGAGTCATGCTGGCTCTGAACACCTGTGTGGGGGTGGGATGTCCCGAGGGGCTGTGGTGACCAGGTGTCCTGTGCTCATGCCTTCCCTGCTCTGGGCTGCAGGGTTTGAACAAGCCGGGAAAATGATTACAACAACAGGCAATTTGGGGTGGGGTGCTTTTCCAGACCCTGCCTTGTGTGTGTCCTTGCATCCGGTGAGGATCCATGGCAGGTGGCCTCCACCTGGGGGAGAAGCCAGATGGAAATCAGCTGACTGGAGGGGTCTCCTTTCAGATCTATATTTATGGATGTGCTCTCCTCATTGTTAAACACTACTTTCTGACTACCAAAGTAACAGACAAAGTAGACAATGTGGAATGTGGAAAATGCCAGAAAAAAAAATACCCCACCAGGAAATGAAAAGTCCACCATCCTCCTCCCTAGTGCCAACTCTGGTGGGGGCTGGCGTCATTATCATCGTGGTTCCTGGGCTTTGCTTTGTATCCTGCTTGATATCGTTTTAGGGGTGCTGAGGAGAGGAAGTTGGGGGGCAGGAGGGAGGGTGAGAGCCATGCAGACTTCTGGGCCCGACCCCAGTGTGCACAGCTGAGGGATTTGGAGGCATCCTGTCTCAGGGACCACCTTGCAGAGGTCCCTGGCCCTCCCCTTCTCCCTTCTCCATGCTCTCCCCCTCCCCCTGAGGAAGGAGAAGGGGGACAGCCCTCCAAGTAGGTTGGGCCCAGCTCGGCTGTCTAGGACGGTGAAAATTGGGACTCAGCAGACCAGATGCATTTCCTGCCTTGGCGCCTAGAACACTTTCCAGATGTGTGCACTGCCCCAAGGCCCAGGCAGGAGGGGCCCGGGGAACCCGACCCAGCTGTGTCAGGGACGCTGGCCTAATGCCAGCACATGGGTCAGTCACTGATGAAAATGTCACCGTGAGGAGCCCAAACCTGGGAGCCTGTCCTTGGAGAGTCCCAGGGAGGCTGTGGTTCCCTCTGCTGATCCAGGCTGGCTGTAGACCCCAGCCCTGCCCCCACTCTGAGGGCTCTGGCCTTTCCAGAAAGTAAGATGCCCTGGCTTTTCTCTGGTATTAGTGGTATTAGATGGTATTAGTCACACCTGCTTCCTGTAGAAAGTGTGAAAAACAGAAAAGCCAGAAAACAACAACCCTAACAGCGAACCCAGAAACCCACCATTGCCAGTCAACCGGCTACTGTATGGGAGATAAAGAAGCGCTTTTAAATGCATCAGCAAACTTTGTTGAGTGTCTTTCCAAAGCTGAGCGCAGATCGAGCACATCCTTTTGTAACCCGCGTTTTCGCTTCCTCTCAGTGAGGGTTTTCCCACTTCATTGTGTTTTCTTGGAAAACAGGATTTTAATGGCGGTACGATAGTCCATCCCATACACCTGTCTTACTAAGTGAGGATTGCTACGTTTTCACCCCCGTCTGTGGGCTGCGCCCAGAGGGCCGGAGGGGTGCAAGCCTTCCCTGTCCTCCTCACAGATGAGAGAGGTGCCTGGTTGCAGAAGCTACTGGAAATGGTTCAGAAGCCCACGCTGAAAGGGACTGTGTAGACCCAGAGCCAGGAGGGACCCCAGGATTGTGTTGACCCGTCCTTCCTCCTCCTGCCCGGTTCCATCGAGGCTCTCGTTACTGCGGTTTGGCACGTGGGTGGGCGAAGCATCCTTGTGAAGTCGTGCACACCAACCATCAGAGTCTCACATGTGACGGTGTCACGGAGCTCAGGGCTCACTGCACAGAACGCTGCTGTGACCCTATTACCGAAATGCTCATTTCTGAGCTGCTTTTCCACGTAGATTCAAGTAGGCAGCTGGGCATCTCTTGAATGGGTCCGCCAGGGAGACCCCAGCAGGTCACCCCTCGTCGATCACATATTGAGACGCCCCAGAGGCTAGAGGGGGTGGGTGGGGAATGGAGGGGTGGATGCAATGGTCCCTGGCCCTGCCCTGGGTCACTCATGGGCCGAGGTGACCCTGACCAGTCCCTCAGCTTCAGGAGAGACAGGAAGGTACAAACAGCCCTGTGGTCATTGTCCATCGAGGTAAGTGCCGAGGGAGAAGGTCCAGGCCTGGAAGGTTGTATAATGGGGGACCCGGCCCATGATGGGGTAGGCATCAGACGGGGCTTCCTTTGTGTGAAGGCCTGAGTCGGGGGGAGCATGGAGTTGGAGGGGACCAGGAGGCCAGAGGCTGGAAGCGGCAGAGGGGGTGGGGAGGCCAGCCGGGCTGAGTCTACCCCAAGCCAAGCCCCTCCCCGCACCCCTGCAAGGCTGGCCCCACCACACTCCTTTCTCCCTCCTGTGTGAGCCCCAGCCACTCTCCCGCTGCTCCCCTGCCTGGTGCCCCCCCCCAGGACACTGATGCCCCAAGTCCTCCAGGCGGGGCCCCTGGCCAGCCCTCCGCAGGTCCCTGGAGAGTCCTGGGCCGCCTCTCAGCCGCCGTTTCCCAGGCAAGCCGCGGATCCCGATAGAAGAGTGCAGCTGAGTGGATGCCCAGAGCCCAGGGAGAGAGCATCTTCCTTCCTGTCGGCTGTAAATAATGAGAATAAAGAGGGACTATGAATGATTAAAGCTGCCCAGAGTGAGTGGGTCTTGAACTGTCTGCCGGGTTTAAAAACTAATTACTTGGAGAGTGTTGTGCCAGGGAACGGTTGCCCGTTTCCCACAATGCCCTCTCCCTCCTCCCCCTCCT